ATTGTAGCCAAGGTATGTATTAAATGTATATAAAATTTTAAAATTGGAAAAAATGAGTTCTCTCTATCTACTATCTCTCTCTTTAGCAACTGCAGAAGTTGCCCTAAAAGACAGTGGATGGCTAACCTTACAAAAAACAAAACACAAAAAACAAAAAACAAAAATGTATAATTAATTGCCATAACCATGTAATGATTGACACTGATAATAGATTTAATTGGACCTATGAGTTAGTAAAAAAATGGTACTCCATTCTGCTTTAACCGGTGTAAATATGAAAAATTTTATGGTGCACATTGCTTAGAAGAGTGTATGGTATCACTCCTAACAGATAATTGTTTGGTAGTTTTGATGCACATTGACATATTGTTTCTAAACCAAAAATAAGTATGAGTAAACTAACTTCTTTTTTAATAATCAGAAACCGTGTCCTAGATAGAGTCCAATGAGTAAACCAACTTAACTCATCTTGGTTGGATGCATAAGAGATAAGATCATTTCCATCCATTACACTAGCAGCATTGAAACAGACAATGCATTCAAAACTGTTATATTTTGTTTGGATCCTGAATTTGCACAAGAACAAAGAAAGGGAAAACGTAGAAAAAGAAAATGAGGAAAAACAAGTAAAATTATCCTCAGTTTTGGCCATCTTTTGTTTGACCACTAGATGAACATATGTCAGTCCACATGTTTTTCGATTTACAGTGCATTACAGTTTTTGTACACCTTTTATTCAATTGATTTTTCACAAAATAAATACAACAATGTTATCTTCCAAAGTAGCTGTACAAGTCGGAGAGGAGAATGAAGCTCAAAGGTTACATACTACAGAGCTCCCGGAAACATTTTGAGATGAAATCACAGCCACAGGAACTGGACGGACATTTGAGGTTCAAAAGTATGGGGCCTGACAAATACCGTCTCAATCACCTAACAGGCACAGTGGCTGTCGCATGCTAAGCTCTGCTTTGAGTTCTGGGAATTTCTCCAAATCATGAGATGAACCTAGAATTCTCTGCATGTATAAGAAAACTAACATTCAATATGTCATTAACAGAGCACATCATTTATTGGGTTATTTTTTCCTAAGTAAAAAGGAGTTAATAAACCAAACAAGAATAATATGTTTCATTACAACACGAAATTTTGTTTGCGAAGAGTTGAGGCAAAGGGAACCAAAACCCATATGGATGTCTGCAATGACCCGGACATGCATCTAATTAATTAGTCATCTAATTGCATTGTTATGTGCTATTTGATTATGTGTTTGTTATGAAATTGTATGTCTAAGGGTGTGAATTAGAAGGATTTGAATTTATATCTATTGATTGTAGAAAAACTTATTGAAATTACAACTTTAAACTGAAAATTGAAGGTCTTAGAGGCGCCATAAATCAAAACCGAGTACATAGTTATAATTAACATGATTTTTAGGACTTACTAAGAAGTTTTGTAAAAATTCAATTCGTATTGAATTAATTGGATTTAATTAAATATTGTATATATATATGAGCCTTGGTTGAGTCTAAGACTCAACAAACAAAAATCTAGAGAGAAAGAGAGAGAAGGAACAAGAGAGTGCTAGAGAACTCAAGAGGAAGAAAGGAAAAAAAGGGGATTTGAGCCAAATCTTCACCAATTCAACCATCTAAGGTAAGAATTCCTCAACTTCTTGCATTGAAGATGTTATACTCATAAATTTATGGAATCTAAGGCTAATCAAGAAGTAAATTGTGGAAGAAAAGATAGGAATGGACAAGATAAGAGAAGACTTGTAGCAATTAGCTCTCATATCAACATACATGGCATGATTTCATGAATTTCTTGTTCATCCCTACAATTCTTGCATGGTTCTTTAACTTTGGGGGAAACCCCCATGGATTTTGAGGCTTGAACTCATATATGCATCTTTTGAGGGTTCTGCACTCTAAGTTCAAGATTTGAGTTTTGTTTTAAAGTAATGGTTTGAGTTTGAAGTTAAACATGCGTAATTCAACATGTTTTTAAGAGTTTTAGGCTTTAATTTGCACGAAAATGAAGTTGAGAGTGCAAAAGTTGAGCTTCAAAATATGAAGCACATATTCAGATTTCACTCTACCCAGACCACACGTGCGGCCTGAGTCCCGCACATGCGGCTAGACCTCCCCTGCTCCGAGCTACTTTCTACAAAAATTGCACGTGCGATTTTCAAAGCAGATTTTTGGTTTTGTTTTCTCTCCATTTTTCTAAGGTTCGGGCCTTCATTTGCATGGTTTCCAAGTGTATTTCAAAGTCATGTGCATATCAGGAGCACGAAAGAAATTAAAGAATGAATAGAAACAACTGAATCAGCAAGTAACGAGTAAACCGACGGAATGAATTGCATGTGCTTTAAGATGTTGTGCTATGAATGTTTGTGTTTGTAGGTCAAGGTTCGTAGACCGATCAACCGGTTTTGGAAGCACTGTGAGTAACATTACTGTAAAGATATGTTCATATGAAATATATTTGAAATGCTATTTGATATGTTATGTTTTATGAAACATTATTTTGCTTAAGTGAACGAATATCTGATTTTGAATCTACTATGGCATCCAAAGAATGGTCCCAAGTCATAAGGGACAGCATGTTAATGCGGGTTCATGACATATATGTGATTACGAGATATTGTTAGCCACTTGACAAAGTGGTGATATGTTTAATCAGTATCCAAAGCCAATTACTCTAGTCGGAAGACGATATGATGTGTTCCATTGGATGTACCATTATTATGTTCAGATATGAGATTGGTTTGTTATGATCTGTTTTATGTATATGACATGTATGGAATTCGTTCACTAACCCTTTTACTTTAATGTTATTCATTAGGTTTTAACTCACTATGTGTATATATATATGTATAGGTGAGCGTCATGAACAACAAGCCCAGAAGGAATCCTTTAGCCGAGCCACCGTTTAAAGTTTTGGAGCTTTGTTTTGGTGCCTCCGAGTTGAGGTTAGGTCTAGAAGACCGTTGTCAAGTTTTTTATCATGATGTTGATATTTTGATATATGTGTATTCGTAGATGAATGTTTTTGTACAAGATGTGATGTATATAACACAGTGTGGGTAAATTAACGTTATGTGCATGTGTTATTTCATATAGAATCACAGCTCATTGGACTACTTGTTATATATATTTTATATTAAGTTTGAGCTAGCTCCGATTATTTTTATTTGTACAGGAAGGCCTTTAGTAATCTCGGATTACTGACCAGTTATGACGCTAAACCTATAGGAGTGGGTTTGGGTCGTGACAATGAGACTAACCAATAGAGTTGAACAGGTTACCATAAATAAATGTGAGCAGACTTGGTTACCATATATTACTATGAATGCTTTTTTTTTTTTTAACAAGTGAAATTTGCAGTCAATAGTATTAGCACATTTGCATAAAAGGTTTCACATGAATAAATGATCTACATGCATATTTGTGATTGTGTATAGACCTAGTTATATATAAGCCCGCCAGGTGGATGACCACAGAAAGAAATAACCATATGCGTGGGTCAATATTGCCAAACATATAACATCAAAAAAAGTATATGCAAACAGATAACGATGTACATATATTTTACTTGAAATTAGAAGATTCATAAATATGGATCAACTAAAAACATCACTAGATTTCTAAAGAAGAAGAAGTAAAGAGGAATCATATTTTACCAATGCAGCATGATGTGCTTCTTGTAGAATATTTCCATCTATCTCTAATCTGGCAATAGGAAACTCTGGAAGGTGTCCCGACTGCTTCTTACCGAGCAAGTCACCAGGTCCACGTAGAAGAAGATCCATGTTTGCTAAATAAAAACCATCAGATGATTTCTCCAGCACCTTCAACCGGTTTATGCTACTGGCCATGGATGCTAACAAAACACACTTAGACTTCCTTACTCCGCGCCCAACTCGTCCTCTAAGTTGGTGTAACTGAGCTATTCCGAATCTCTCAGCATTCATAACAACCATCATGGATGCATCCGGAACATCAACACCAATCTCAATTACTTGAGTAGAGAGCAGTACACATATTTCTCCTGATCTAAATCGTCTTAATGCATCATCTTTCTCATCGCTCCTCATTTTTCCATGTAGTAACCCACAGCTGTAAGCTTCAAACCTCTTAGATATAGTTTCAAGATCAGCTGAAGCAGCACGAAGCTGAGGCAGTTGCTCAGATTGCTCAATGACTGGATACACTAGATATATTTTTCCTCCTGCTTCCAGCTCATCTGTCATCATCTATTAAAAACAAAAAACAAAACAAGTCGTACAAGATAAGATTTCAAATTTAGAAGAAAAGAAAAAAAGATTGGTTCACTACAATTAACATTTGAAAATTTTAGGTAGTGTTTGGTAGAGTTTTAGAATTATGATTTGAGAATTGTTAGAATTTCTCATCTTTACCTTCTGATTTAAAAATTGTTTCCTTTTTTTTGGTGGATTATTCATCCTTATTAGTCCTATATGTACTTCTTTCCTTTATAGTGCTTGTTTCTTTTGAAAAAGAGTTCTGAGCATATCTTTACTTCAACTTTTAGAGTTGACATCACATCTCAAGATACCAGATAAACTTCTTCTAAACACTCCACAGGAGAAGGAATAAGTGTGTTCAGGCCTGCGTACACTATTTCTGACTCAGTACTACTTCCAATTCTTGACACCTCTTAGAGAAATAACTTGATTGAAGATAGAGAAAGAGAAAGGAGAGTAGGATAAATAGGTTATAAAGCTAAATGGAAGAAGAGGAAAGTATAACCTTTACTGAGAATGCTCCCTTTATTATTATTATTATTATTTATTTTCTTAAACAACTCCGTCTGAAGTTGGTGCATGGATCTCTTAGGATGTACAAAAATGGTTTAAGTAACGGCCTTTACATTATGTAACAAAATTTTGGTCTCCATTTTACAACCACAACACTATTTATCTGATACAAGAAAACATTTGCAGCCATATCAAGGCATTACGGCCGTTACATTACCAAACGTTCTGTATGGACCAATACTTTTGCACCTTTACAGCCGTTATGGTCCCTCATATAGATTTTATATTCTTGATGATTATCTATTCTTACTCGCATTTTTAATGGTCCTAGGTATAAAGGATTTCCTTACTAGATGAAATTCTCCACCTTTTTGGCCCATCATCATGATCTTCCACAAACATTCCTTTTATATAGCATATCTTCATAACCGCTTACCCAGACACTTGTTCCAATAACTAAAGTTTTTGTCATACTTGGACTTGTGCTTCTAAAAGGAGAATAAACATTCCCAATCAACAAAATGATATAGACGGAAGTCATTCAAAGTTCACTTCTCTGAAATTTTATGAACTGCAACTCTTTCAAAAGAAATCCACCTGAATGAGGCTTCTAGTCTTCAGTCTTTGCATTAGTAAATATGGATTGCCAAATTCCACTATGACTAATATATGTTTAAAACTGTCCAAATTGAGTAGCAATTGTCTTTCACACCCCAATTTACCATACCCAATGAAAATCACCATTTTAATTGCATTTTGGTTGTAACTTCTAAGTGACCTTAGTTTAAGCAAAAGCACTGTCACTATGGCACTGTTTAAAAACTGGAATTTTGCTTTCTCTGTGTATAGTTGAAAAAGATAATAGGTGTGCATATGCTTTAGCCTAGGAGTCTTTTCCCACCAACTCCCCCTACACTGCTAAATTTGCCTGTCCTGATGCTGAAGTAACTGAGGTATTTGCTTTTTCCAGATGTTTTCTAATGTTGAAACCCTTTTATTTATCCAGAGCAGTCTTCTTTTCACTGGAAAAGGAAAAGGATATAATAAAAGAACAAATAACTAAAATGAAAAAAAGAGCAAACATGCATGTCCTGATTAATTACACGTATCTCTGCAGATTAAAGCCATATTGTTGATCGCAATCAATACCTCAGCTATTCACCCTTCTCACTCTATTGGATTCACTTTCAAAATTAGGATGGTGCCTAGGATTCTCTGCTTCTGAATATGTTTTTATATTATCACAGGACAGAAATGCCCAGTGATAATGATATAATTTCGTGTCCGAAAGTCCTCGGTTCAATTTTCTATTCACTGAAAAGCTGGCTACATGGGTTTTTAGATTTCTAGTGGATTCCCATCACTTCAATAACAATGTCTTTACAAACTCATGGTTGCCAAGAATTGGGTGTTAAGCACATTTTTAAAAGATCAACAAAATTTAGTGGATAATGACATCAACCTAGCTTTTTAGTCAGAATTGATGGTGGTGTAAAAATCTATTCACCCAGGCCTAGGTATGTGTTTTGTCGAATGTTTTATGGAGCATAGGTTCAGGTAAAAATGCACATGCGCGTGCATTGTGCATCTTTTGGGACATCATGGCAAGTGTTTACGAAGGGTCATTACCCAGTGCACAAGACTGCCACTTACCGTAGGTTTGGAGAAGCGTAATAGATAGAAAAACCTTTCCCCCACTTTTTGATTTGTTGGAGATGCTGATTTTGCATTACTCGAACCTGTGCCACAATTGCAGGAAGTGGATAGCATTTGCCATTGCTCTAGGTCAAGTCAAAGCTTAGGAAAAAAAAAAGAAAAGGAAAAAAGGCATAATCACTCTGGCCAAACCGTTATAATTTTGTCCTTGGGTTGCCAATGCTCCAGAACGATTGTTTAGTATTGATTAAAAATGTAGCAAATTGCCATGAACCATATTGCATGATTATTATTCTCCCATGTGAGATGAAAGGCATTGTTGATCATAGCAGCATGCTCAACCATGGAAGCCTTTTTGAATTGGGTGGGTTCATGTATTATTGATTATTGTATCATCTTCTAAAAAATTAAGTTGTATCTCAAGTTATCTGCTTGTGTCAATATGGCAAACTTTTAAGGATCATATCCATTGAAAGAGAAGAGAGAATCAAGCGCTCATTTGGTGAGAGCTCTCAAACTTTAGTTCTATTCTTATTTTGAACGTGCTGTTTTTACTAGCCTTTTTAAAAATAAATTCTACACTAACTTTGAAACTCTTTCCGAGGCAGGAAAAATTTTGGCTAAGCCGGTCGTACCCACCGGTATTGAACGGAAACAGTGTTTGTTTGTTTGTTGTTTGTTTTGTTTTTTTTTTTTTTTGCACCTGTTATTTTATATACAAAAAAAAAAAAAATATTTGTGAAATTTTTTTTTAAATTTTCTATGAGCTTTGAAATAGAATTTTGGTTGTGTGTTTGGTTATGAATGTAAGTTTTTGCTATCCAAATATCATGTCACATCACTCAATTCAAATTCAATTTAAAACTCTTTTCAAAACTCATAACCAAACAAATTTTCCAACATCATAATTTTTAAAATCACAAACTCAAAATACAATTTATCTGTTAAATTTAATGTATGCGAAAAAAATTTAGAGAGAATGAAATATGTATATGATTGATATATTACAAGATTGATAAACTTACAATTTCCTATAACAATTAATATATAGAAGAAAATGTGGTAGTAGGGTGTAGTGGAGGTGATAGTGGGCTTAGGTGAAGTGAGGTGTGTGTGAAGTGGAGGTAGGTGAAGTGAGTGTGTAGTGAGTAGGTGAAGTGTAAAGATGAGAAATCTAACAGCCCCCACAAAACTTCAAGGAGAGAGAAACTAACAACTTGAGTATTGGAGAGAGTAACAAAACAAGAAAATACATAAAAATAAAAAAAGGATAGGAGACACTTGTATGGTCGTGTCAGACCGTTGGTGAAGACACTGTATGGGGTGTCATAACGTTGTAGGAGGACACTGTATGGTTGGTGTCAGGGGGACCGATGTTTAGAAGACAGTTTTTATGGGGTCATGTCGGACCGTTTGTAGAAGACAGTTTATGGGTCATGTCGGGACCGTTGTAGTAAGAAGTCTTATGGGGGTCATGTCGGAACCGTTGTAGAAGACAGTTTATGGGGTCATGTCGGCCGTTGTAGAAGACAGTTTATGGTGGTCATGTCGACCCGTTGTAGAAGACAGTTTACGAGGTCATGTCGGACCGATTGTTAGAAGACATTTACTGACTGGTCATGTCGGACCGTTGTAGCAGGATAGTGTTAAAATATATCATCACCTACCACCTCCACTTCAACTCACCTTACCACACACACTCACCTACTCCCCATCCTCCCTATATAATTGAGTACCTCCACCATCTGCTAATTTACACGACAATCAATATATCAATCAATAATACAAAGTCTCTATTTCTCTTTATAGATTAAATTTCTACATGTATCAAAGCTATAAGATTTAAACCTGTATTTTTTTCTCACCGGCGGAGACGGGCCGGCAACTTTGCCTTGCTGCCCGCCTGGAATTTCTTCTCTCTCAAACAATGGCAGATTTCCATTCCACAGCGCGGAACCATCACCTCACCGTACAGACCCACACCTTTCCGGTGACCTTACCCACACTTTCCGGTGACCCCTTGCAACTTCGCGAGTATAATCGCACCACGATCGCGTATCGCAATTCCTGCTACACTTCACACCAAGCCTCACCGTCACAACCCCACACTTTCGGTGACTTACACACTTCCGGACTTGCAAACTTCGCGAGTATAATCGCACCACGGAATCGCAGTCGCAACTTCCTTGCTACAACTTCACACCAAGCCTTACGTAACCGTTCGAATGTCACAACAACAACAAAGGCCTTGCAACCGGCCGTTCGCGACCGGCCCGAGTCTACTTCGAACCGGCATAATCTTCATGACCTCGTCCTTCAATTGACGGACCAACCCAGATCGATGATCTTGGTCTCTTTGATGGGATAAGAGTGAAGGTTTAATCTGCTTCGAGGCCTCAGATCTTTCGGATTCGAGAGAACGGCTCTTGCAGAGTTCCGGTTTCTTCTTAGTAAGCTTTGAACAAGCATGAGTCACTACCCGCCTCCCTCCAGCGGCGGCCACAGTGGAGCGATTCCGGCCAAACCCACTTCTGCCACTGCACATGGTCCGGCGTCACGTACGACGCTTTCCGTCCACGTTGCCGCTTCCCTCGACCTCTCCGCGCCTAAACTTCACCAATAGCTTCCCTCTCCGAATCGAAGTCCCTCGCAGAATTTCTCTCTCTAAAATCAGGTAGAATAAAGCTGAATCGGAGACTTTCTCTCTCTAAAATCTTTGGGCGTTGGGTCGCATTCATGGCTATCGCTGATCGCGAGTTGCTATCGGATGCGTCTCTCGCCTTCTGGCCCCTCATTTTATTCTTCGTTGCACAGAGCCTCCTCTCTCTGAAACCACGACTGAC